TCTATTTTACTAACCAGTAATGTTGAAGGAGGTGGAGGTCACCTTGTAATGCTGATTAAAATAACAGCATCTGGGGAATATGGAATGTTTACAGCTAATAGACATTTCTCATGCAAATGATATTTAGGCATAGGGACAGTTGTCTAATTGCTATAAATTTAAAAGAATATCTTGCTCCCTTTTACAAGGAAAACAGTGAGTAGGCCTGTGGCACCTTAGGTTATGTCTAGACCAGTGGAATCCCGGAAAAGCTCTGCCATATCCAAGGAACGCGTCCGCTTTTTCAGAACAGTTTCCAAAAAAGTGGACATGCTCTTTCAGCATTCCTGTATTCTCTCGGTGAGAAGAATAAGGGGTGTTCCAAAAGAGGACTTTTTTCTGAAATTTGGCTCCATTTAGAGGAGCCAAATATCGGAAAAGCCTCTTTTGGGAAAAAAAGCAGAAAAGGGTATGCAAATATCATAGCCTTAGAGACTAACAAAAATATATATTTAATATCATGAGCAAAATCCACTTTGTCAGATGAGATGAGCGGAGATAAAAGGGGGACTCTCAGAATAAGAAGGGAAAGGGAGAAAAGAAAGTAAGTGTCAATTGTAATCTTGGTGCTGATGAGGCTAATTGAGTGGGCTGGAAGCATCTCATACTTAGATGTCAATGGGGTTTAGAATGTAAGGAAAGCTGGTTTTATAATATACCATCCAGTTCAAGTCTTTGTTCAGGCAAAAGGAGACAAATTTGCAAATGAAGGTCAATTCCACACTCTTCCTCTGTATTTGGTTTGTGAAATTCCTTTGTAGAAGAATGACTACTTATAAATGTTCCCCTACAGGTTTGTGTGTGTTACCTTCCTAATATCTGATGTGTGTCCATTAATCCTTTGTTGTAGACTGTCCAGTTTGGCCAATATACGTAGCAGATGGGCATTGCTGGCATTTTATGGTATATATCACATTAGAGGATGTACAGTTCTATGTTCCTCTTATGTTGTGGCTTATGTGGTTAGGTCCTGTGATGGTGTCAATAGTATAGCACCAACAGTTAGCTGGGGACAATAAAGACTAAAATTAAAAGTAATATCTTACCAGAAGAATTTATATTCTATACAGACAATGTACAAAGAAAGGAAGAAAGACAAAATGCAAGAAAGAACAGAGTGGTTGAACAATCAATCTGAATACATAAGTTTGTTCACTTTTTTTGTTCTTTGTTTTAAAAAAATGTTATGCTTTAGAGTTAAGAAATTCAATTTTTAGGTTACATAACGCTTGGGTACTTGAAGAATAGAGTCTAGCATCCCCATCTATAATGCAGTCCATTCATCTCTGCCTACACATAACATTCAGAAACCAATGAAAATCATATCTTTGTTCAGATTTATTTTGTGATCCCACTTATCATTTTCAGAAAGTTCTGTATCAACAGCTGTCTTACATTTACACAGTTTTGTAAAGGAGGAGAAGAATTTCTATATTATTACAAGGATTGTATTATAGTATGTTAATTTCTCTAAAAGCCATTGTTTTAATTAATTATTAAAGGATAACATGATATGTTGTGGTTCAGTTTTCCACAGCACAATAATTTCAATTCAACTGAACGTGCTAACACTGAGGTGTAATCCAAGTACATTCAGACTAAAGTGAAAGATGAAATATATTAGAAGTTTAAAAAAAGCACTCTGCAAGTCACCAAAGAATAATTTATATAAAAATGCTAAATATGGGACATTATCAATTATTTGGTGTCTAATATTCTGTCATTAACAGTGGGCAGTTATAGATGTTTCAAAGGAAGTTGTTAAAGTCCATGGTAGATATTTATTACGGGCTGTCAAGTGATTAAAAATGCGGTGGTGTTTCAATGGGGCAGCGCTGCATGGAGTCCCCATGCAGCGCTGCCCCTTTCAGGCGCCGGAGCGGCACTTCAAAGGTGCAACGCAATCGGAGCCCCTTTAAAGTGCCACTCTGGTGCTTTAAAGGGACAGTGCCTTAGGAGCTGGGGATCAGCTGCAGACTCCAGCTAATACCTGGCTCCACTTGCACTGCCCCTTTGAAGTGCAGTTTTGGTGCTTTAAAGGGGCAGCACATTAGGAGCTGGGGATCAGCTGGGGACTCCAGCTGAGCCCCGCCTCCACTGTTGCAAAACCCCTTTGAAGTGCCTGTGATTAACGCGTTAATTTTTTAATGTGTTAATCCTGCCCTGAGTTAATCGCAGGCATTAACACAGGTCAATTGAGAGCCCTAATGTTTATGCAATAATATGCTCATGAGCAATGTTCCCTCTAATTTTTCCCACCCATAATAATAAATGTTCTCATGTGCACTAATATGGAGGTGATGTGTCACTGGTGCACATAATAAAATTCACGTGGTGGGATGGGTCTGAGGGGTTTGGAGTGTGGGAGGGGGCTCAGGGCTGGGGAAGAAGGCTCAGGTGCGAGGGGGGGAGGAGTTGAGGGCTCCAGCTAAGGGTGTGAGCTCTGGGTTAAGGCCAGGAATGAGGGGCACAGGGCTGAAGCAGAGGGTTTGGGTCCAAGGCTGTGGGTGAGTGTTTTGACTGTGGGGTACAGACTCTGGGGTAAGGCCAGGGATGAGAGTGCAGGCTGCTCCAGGGGCTACAATGCAGAGAGAGGATTCCACTCAGTTCTCTCTCCCTGTAGCAGCACCTGGGCATAGAGGGAGAGGCTCCTCTGCCCTGGCCACAGCAGATCCAGGCTGGGTCTGGAAGGAGAGCCTGTTGCCCAGGCCGCAGCAGTTTTGGCCTGGGTTGAAACCAGAAGTGGTGGTGCCCTGACAGGTCCAGGGCTTGGGAAGAGGCATCCCTCCCCACCACAGCTCTGAGCATGTGCATGGTGCTTAATAGAGGGAACTTAGGTCAAGAGGTAGTTTTTTTTCCTACCCCAAACAACTAGTAGTTTCTTGGCATATGTCCTGAAATACAGGAGCGGATGAGGATTTTGCAGGGCCCAGGGCAGCACAATTTTGCGGGTCCCCCCTTTGACACGGCACATGCATGGGGCTTCTTGAAACATGGGGCCCGGGGCGGCCGCCCCACTCGCCCTGCCCTATATCCGCCACTGCTGAAACATTAAAGTTTATATCACTTTATCCTAACTAGTATTATTTGCAGATGATATGATGTCTCATACTTTTTGGGGGGGGAAAGAGGGAGTGGTAGAATTCTACTGACCTATCTGCTCAATAACATTGTATGGCAGTAACACAGGTTACTCAGGTAAGAAGTATTTTTATATCAGTTTTAAAAAGTATTGCATTTTACAGTGGGTGTTCTCTTATTTGTATTCATTTTCTGACGTTAGCTTTCTATATCAAAGTCTTCATTAGCAACAAGGAGTCCTGTAGCACCTTATATACTAACAGATGTATTGGAGCATAAGCTTTTGTTGGTAAAGACCCATTTCATCTGACAAAGTGGGTCTTTGCCCATGAAAGCTTATGCTCCAATACATCTGTTAGTCTGTAAGGTGCTACAGGACTCCTTGCCACTTCTGCAGATCCAGACTAACACAGCTACCCCTCTGATAAGTCTTCATTCACACACACACGCTATATCCACTTATTCATTCAAAAAGCTTTCTTACAAGATATAATATTTAGATACCACATGCATACTTAAAGAGGTGGAACTGTGAGAGAGAATAAATTGGAGAAACTAATTGACCCTTTTCATGGGTCTGAGCTAAGCCTATCAAAGTCAATGGAAAGACTCCCTTTGACTTCAGAGGGCTTTGGAACATGTCCTCTGTCATCTATTATTTTATGCATTCATTTTGTGTCACTTTATTCATCTCTCTAAGCTAAACAATCATATTATTTTACTAGGGGGCTGCGCTCTCTGTTTGCTATGTTCACCTACTCCCTCTGGCCGCTTTCACTTCACTGGGTCTGATTATGTCATTCTGTCACCCAGCAGGAA